CATATTATAAGGTAAGGTTATAAAACCACCATTTAAGATCATTTTAGTGAAAGTTTCATCCTTCAAGGCGTACCATTCACTGCTGAAATACTAAACAACCTGCTTCCATGGCCGAGATACAGGGCGCCCATATTATAAGGTAAGGTTATAAAACCACCATTTAAGATCATTTTAGTGAAAGTTTCATGTTCCTATCTCATAGAATTTAAGAACAATGATGAATAAATAATTTTCGAGCAAAATTTAAATGGCCGGCTGAATATATTACCGCAGGAGCCGCGGCCGCGGAATTTAAATGACCACGTCAAAGGGTTAATTAAGCACCATGAGAACATGTGAGGGAATGAAGGTATAACTTCATAACCTAGGTACTAGATGGAGGTGAGTGCTCACCTTCATGCCCTAGCCATTTGACCCCCAGAGAATAAATGCCACTATTATAGGATAGGTGCACGGATCCCAGAGCCTGTCTGAACGTGCAGAAAAATATCTTTTGGTGCTGCCTGAACTCACCCCTGACTTCTCTGTGTTCCAGACCAAAGCCTAGTCACTGTGCTGAGTTATCCTTGCTGCACAAGTGCCCAAACATGGCACTGTTAAAATCAGTAAGTCTGTTATACATTGTAATGTCTTATATTATTTTCATTTTAGGAGAAGTACCTGCAGGAGCGCATAAAGGTGAATGGGAAGACAAATAATTTTGGCAATGTGGTCAGCCTGGAGCGCAACAAGATGAAGCTGTCTGTTAATTCTGACATTCCTTTCTCTAAACGGTAACTATAGACTCAGCAACTCAGTGGGTCACACCATGGCAAAGCCTCCATCCTCTGGATTTTCCTCCTGCCCTACTCTGTTACACCTACTGAAGAGCAAAGTTAAACAGTTTGGGGTTTCATATTCAGCAGGTCCCAGGTTCAGATCTCAGTCCGCAGACTAGTAATTCTGACAGACATCTTTTATGGTTTTCTACAGCCTCTCAGGGTGAAGACCAGAGCTCTACTTTAGGTTAGGCCATAACCACATTCTTTCCAGTTCTTCTCATTGACTGTTTATTCTGCTATTTGATTCTATATGTGTGTGAGACATATAAACTGTATTGTAAGGGTGAGGGCGCACCAAGGAAGCTGGGAACCGCAAATTCCAAGAATTGTTATCAGCCTGAGTTGAACACATGTAACTGAATGGAGCAGGGCAGATTGAGGGAAACGGCAATGCAACTTGCAGAAAGACTGAGAAATTCAACTTCCAGACAATGGACCATGCGAGTCTTCTCACAGTTGCGTTGCCGTGTTGTTTCGTAGTGGCAGCTGTCCTATAACTCGCTTCAGTGATTCATTTGTTTCTTAAGATGGCACAAAAGGTTGACGAAGCTGCTAATTTTCTTTTTGTGCAGTTAACTGAACCTGGTATATACAGGGTGATTCACGAAGTTTTATCCCAGCTTATGGTACATATTCCTGGGGTTATTTCCTGCAAAATTTCCTTATAAACTTGTAGTCGATTTTCAATATTTATGGAGTAACAATGGATTTTCGAAACGCATCATTGTGAATGCAGCGCGATCCCCCCCCCGACTGGGCGACCATGTGTTCCAGTCAGCTGTGTCAGCAGATAACTGTGAAGTTAAGATGCTGTACACATTTTCCACTGAGGAATACGCCAGTATGTTTGTTTTGGGTGTATGTTATGGAAATGTGAGAGCCGCTGCTGCTGAATATGACCGGCGTTATCCTAATTGCAGGATTCCGAATCCTAAATCCGTTAGCAGTACATTCAACACATTAAGATAAACTTGTTCTCTCCCCAGCGTTCGTATACAATATGAACGAAATCCTCAACATGAATTGTGCAAAGAAGAAAACATTCTTGTTGCTGTAGAGCGCAGTCTGCGTGCCAGTACAAGACGTCTAGCTCGACGGTTTAGTGTTTCTCAGTCCATGGCGTGGAGGACTCTTGATGAGAACGGGCTGCATCCTTATCATTTACAGCAAGTACAACGCCTACAACCAGGAGACCGTGCTCTTCGTCTGCAGTTCTGCAACTGGTTAAATGGAAATCGGCAGTTGTACCGCTTGATAATGTTCTGCGATGAGGCAGTTTACACAGGACGGGGTCAACAACAGTCACAACTTACATGTTTGGGCAGACAATAATCCCCATGCCACGATAGAATCGAATTTCAACACCGATTCAGTGTCAATGTCTGGTGTGGTGTTCTGTATGATCACCTAAACGGGCTGTTCATTTTATTGCATTTGGGGCTGGATGAAGGACATGTGTACCAGGTAAAAGTACAAACATGTGAAGCGCTGCTTGAACATATTCTGGACGCGGCGATGACAATAAGGAACAAACGTGTGGAACTGTGAAATGCTACGAGCATGGTTCATATGCGTGTGACGCGTTTTGTTGACGTCCAGGGAGAAATTTTTGAAAATCTTATGTAAATCCAGTCGTCTTACAAAGCACTACAGTTTAAAGGAAACAGATTGATAGAAGGGTGTGATATGCAACCACTGGTATGTTTACAGAATGGGATGCTGAAAATAATGTAATTTTATAACACAAAATCGATGAAAAATGTTGCACAATGCAAAATTAAGAAATTGAAAAAAAAATGGGTTTTAGAATGCTTCTTTCCTAAAACATTAATGATTTAAAAAGTGTTTGTATTGTATTTCTAATTTGTTTTGACTGAAATTTGAAGAAGAAAAGATTTTTCGCCAGTTTTCAAATTACTGTATCTCTTTAATTGTGAGTTGGATACCATTAGTATATTAACATTTTTTGTTCCAAATTACCTCAGGAATTCCCTCCCTAAGTGGAGGTAAAACTTCGTGAATCACCCTGTATGACAAATGCCACCCAGACTATGCTAGGCGGGACAAAATGGATTTTGCTTGGGAAAGAATTTCTCATGATACGAAGGAGTCTAGATCCAGGTTAAGTTCTTTCAAAACAGTATAACCACCTCAGTTTAATTTGTCACAGAAGAACGGTTGCAACCAGTGGTTTCCTAATATTGATTTAAGCATCCTGTTGCATTAATCTGTCATTTATTTTACATATATTTACGTCTTAAGTACAACTTATTATGTAGTCACCCTTCTTTCATGTTACATGGTTCGGCTATATATGGCCATCATCAGGTGTCTTCTGTCCTGCTAAATAGTTGCACTGTGTGTTAAAATTTTTTTTTCCCTTATGGTCATCTTTTCTCATGCCATCTGAACTGGTCTCAGCCACCACCATATTATGGCCAGTGAGTGCCGAAATTATAAAATACCATTGTGCATTACGTCGGGCGAACATACCCACTTAAGATAATGTGAGCAACTACTCAAAGATAAGTTTCCTCAGTGTTTTCCTGCTAATCTGGAAACCAGTTGCCTGCTTGAAATCAGCGATTTTTCTCGGAGATTGCAGTTGCCAATTTCCTTTGTGTGCCCTCAGCCATACAGTATGTGAAGGAATGGCCAGCCAGAGTGTGCTGTTATGTTCTGTCTAAAAATCTTCAGGGTGTGTTATGCCTTGAGTAGACAGTTGTACAGAAAAAAGATTTCTTATGTTCAGTGAGGTCCCCAGTGCAGCAACTTCAAGAGGCTTTATTTTAAAAAACTGTGATGTCTCTCAGATGTACAAACCTTGTTGGTATAGTTGTGGTTCTCACTGTGGTGACTTCCAGCTTATAAAGCTGTGCCTTTTGGAGACAGCCTGTTGTTTAGAGAATCATATAGCATCCATCTTCAGAGTCACAGTAAGCCAAGCAGTTATTTTTATTTTTAATATTTTTTATTATATTAATTATATGCTGATTCCTCTGAAACATTGGTACTTGTACCTATTTTGTATAATACATGGTGTGACACGACAGTATCATTAAACATGTTTAGTTTAAATAATAAAATTAGGAATAACAATGATTTGTATATCTAAATGAGGAAGAGTTTGGGGCCTAATCTGTTTGGTAGGGGAACAGGACTGGACTGAAGGCCCAGACCTGTATGTTGAAGATGGTGGATGGAGATTACTCTCTTCCAGATCATGACACCGTGGAGTCTGGTAGGCAGTTACCAGTTTTTTAGAGGAGCCAGTGGCTCCTCCATCTTCAGGGTATAGAATAAGCAAGAGGCTAAGGTACAAGTATACAGAATTTGGAAAGGAAGTGGACTGCAAGTGGGCTAATGGAAGTTGGCCATTAAAAGGGCAAGACCCTTCTTTTCCCAGTGGCTTATTCTTCCACCCTGAAGATGGAGGCAGCAGTTTCCTCCAAAATATTAGTACTCTTCCGCTAAACTACAAGGCATCTCATCCCAGAAGACAGTAACTGTATACGTGTAGTCACAAGAACATCAGATCAGATGGTTGCCATACAGTGCAGATGCATCTAGATTTGTACTTGCTCTGTTCACTGTTAACTGAACACTTTGTTTTGTTCAGGTATCTGAAGTATCTCACTAAGAAATATTTAAAGAAGAACAACCTGCGTGACTGGTTGCGGGTCGTTGCGAGTGGGAAGGACACTTATGAGCTCCGATACTTCCAGGTAACATGTAATGGTATTTGGATCAGACCAGAAATGTCCTTTGAAGATACAGAATTCAGAAGCTCACTCAGCCAATATACAGGGTGTCCCAGGAGGAATGGACCAAACTTCGGGAGGGTGTTCCTTATGTTAAAGTATGCCGATATAACCCAAAGCACCTATGTCCAAAGTTGAACAGTTACGGAGATAATGGCCTGAGAAAAGTGTGGTCTTCTGGCGAGTCCACACACTGTACCTGTCAGCTGGCATGTCTTATCTAAGTTTGTCCTTGAGTGCGGTGATTCACCCTAGCCATACTTATGTAGTTGGCTTATACCAGAACACGCAGTGTCATGTTACATCAGCGCTTGCCATTCATGTGTCATGTATAGTGCTTGGAAACCCTAAGGACAATTATGACATGGCGAGCGAGTATTTTGTACTTCAATTTTATGGCTTCATGTCACTCACAAGTTAGTTTGATGTTACGTACATTATTAACATTACAGAATCCACATATTCCTGCCAGTTTTAATATGTATTTTGTAATCACCAAGTGTGCAACGCCGGTCAAAGTTTGACACTTCTCTGGCCATTATCTCCGTAACTGTTCAACTTTGGACATAGGTGTTTTGGGTTATATCGGCATACTTTAACATAAGGAACACCCTCCCGAAGTTTGGTCAATTCCTCCTGGGACACTCTGTAGTCTGTTGAAAAGCATGGAGATCAGAGTTCAGTTTTGGCAGGACCAGGAGATTTATATCTAACCTACAGTATCCAGACCAGCCCTGGCATGGACAGACAATATTACAATGAATCTTAGAGAGAGTGGGATGAAGTGGTTGGACTGATCTGGCTCAGGATAGGGACCAGTGGAGGGCTCTTGTGAACACGGTAATGAACCTTCGGGTTCCAAAAATGCTGGGAAGTTGTTGGCTAGCTGCACAGCTGGCAGCTCCATGAATGAGTGAGTACAGTTTTCTGGCTTGTAATGCTCTGTGGTGTGGACGAACATATCACACCCTTCTTCGGGGCGAGAGACTGGGCCAGTAAACAGCAAGCTGAGCGCAACACATGGTACCTCCAGGCTGATATAGGCTTGAAAGAAACTCTTAAGAGGCAGGGGGAGGGTGACCATTGTCTGTAAAGGGATTTGAAGAGAGCCAGTGGGAGCATAGGAAATGGTACCTTGGTTGAGCCAGAAAACGGTCATCTGCATGTCAGGTGAAATTGGAATGGAAATAATATTGTCACAGTATGGAGTGACTGTTGGTGGGGTTTTGGATTGGATATTGGATTTATTGATCACTTTAACTCACAGCTCATAATTATACATAATTATAGCACCATTGCTGATCTCCACACTGTAAAATCACTGCTACTAGACATTTCCTAGTAACAGTTTCTAACAGTGGAGATACTTCAGCATCCACACTCGCATCCTCTCTGAACAGCACCCCCCACCCACTGAGCATTCTTGCAACTCTAACTAAGTCTTCTCTTAACAGGCTGACTAAGCTCAGAGTGAAAGTCATAGTAACTATATAACTGTTGGTTTACCGCCAATCAGTTCACCTTTGTGCCAAGCCCCTTAATACTCACCAACTGAACCTTTGCAGTCATAGTCCTTATGTAACATCCTCTCTGATGGGAAGATGGGTTTGTCTCATATGAATACGCTTTAACTCTGCCCCTTGCTTATAACCTCAGCATGGACCACATAGAAAACAAAAACACTGTTCTTCTGTTATATGCATATCAGATACTGCAGGAATGTGTTTACTGAATTGTTCCTTAGCTGCAGTCATCTGTTCTTGCAACAGACATCATTCTTTGGCTGTTTCATGACTGTTGTCGACAAACGTTTCAGAGCTGTTTCCTTGGCTCCACATTTCTTGCTTTGAGCATATATGCCACAGTTTGTATGTCTGGAGGAGCGTGGGGATAAGAGCAAGCAGGAGCAGCAGAGAATACAGAGGGCGAAGCAGTAACTTATTGCTGAAACAGCAGAGGAAAAGTAGGAGAGTGGGTGCCCTGAGAGGGCAGAGTCCATCCTGAAGATGGAGGTGATATGTTCCTGCAAAACATTGGACTCTCTAAACTGCAGTGTTTGAACCCAGTCAGTTATACTCTTCATAGTCAGTGCTTTGAGAACCTGAATTCCAACATGTATTTAACTTTATCTAGGAGGCTCCAAGTAAACTGTAGGGATATGTATTTGAATTGCATTTGTTTGTGTTCCAGATCAACAGTCAGGAGGATGAAGAAGAAGAAGACAATGATTAGTTACAGTCGTTAAATCTGCAAGCACAGCGAATCCTGTAAATGCTGCTTAAATATTGTTCAATAAATAATTTTTCCACGTGATGTTGCATATAGTTTGGTTTGAAGGTAGAATTCTGACCTACCAGGATATAGACATTGTCACATGTGAGACACAAATGTAGCTGCTCATGCCAGAGACAGCAAAATCCCTGTTAAATGGATCTCTTGGGGGGAATTTTTTTAACAAGGGGACCTGACCAGTTGAAGCTGTCCAAAACCCTCCTCAGGTTTCCTAGGAAAATATCAGGTGTTGGTACTCCATTCTCTCGTCACTTTCTCACCCTTCCTTTTACATCTCAGAAACGGAGCTGTATGGTGCAGGTGGCTGGAATTTGAATCCCAGTGATTTGAGGGCTCTAGAGGATATAACATCTCATTCTCTTTCTATCGATGCTGTGCGTATATTTGTTTTCCTCTCTTCACAAATTACAATAAGAGAAGTGCATGAGACATGACAGTCCATCTTTACACCTCAAACAGTATCTAATGTCTATATGTATAATATAAACTCTGTCATAAATGTAACATTTTATTGTAGTTCTTCTCTCCCTTCTTTCACACTACATTTCGGCTGCAACCGGCCATCATAAGGTGTATTTCACTTCATGTAGCTGTCACACTGTACTCAATATTAACATTTAAACTCCAGATTTCAGTTCATTTCTCTGTCGTCAGTCAGCACCCGATATTCCAGAACTTGCCTTGTCGATTTTTATATTTAAAATCTTTATTTTTTAATTAATTCACGCGTCAATTGGTTAAAATTTTTTTTTTTCCAATTTAGTTTTAATATTTTAAAATTTTAAATTTAAATCAAAATCACAGAGATACCTGCTCTTTGCTTATATGTGCTGTAGCGGCTACCTCTTGCTTTCAGCACAGCTCGCGTGTTATTTTGTGCAGGTTGTTTGTGTGTGTGTGCCACTGCTTTTCTTTAATACGTGAGCATATTGTATATTTGAGCAGGCCTGAAATATTAACTTTAATAAAAGTCTTCTGTCAAATAAATAATGGTTTAGTTTGGTTCTCAGGAGAAGAGAATCAAATCACCAGTAATGACTCCATTTCACAGTATAGCTAGCACCGAGTTTTCTCATGATAAGTAATCGCTGCCAATTGTTCCCTCTTAGCTGGATATTTCCAGTGTTCTATATCTCCTATGAGCTGCTCTTACTTTGTGACCTAACCTTTTCAAAACGCACAGTCCTCTTAAACAATTGTGAGATTCGTCCACTATTTTGCAGCAGCAATTGATATAGTTAGCCAGTCACGGTAGCCAAGCGGTTTAAGGCATGCACTGTCTTTGCTCACTCGGAAGCCGGGATCGTGGGTTCGAATCCCACTCAGGTCATGGATGTTTGTGTGCGTTTTTCTGTGTTTGTATACAGGTAGAGGCCTTGCAACGAGCTGATCACCCACCCAAGGAGTCCTACCGAATGTGTAAGATCTAGAAAAACCGAAGTGAATGGAGAAGTTCATGGAGGTAGGCCTAGGCCCACTGGGGCTGTAGTGCCAAGAAAAAAAAAATGATGTTACTTTTGATTCACATAATTTCAAAGGTTTTTGGTGTGGTAGTACTGCTGAAAATACCTTAAAAATAAAACTTTTTATCTTAATATATTTTACCATCCCCTTCCTTGCTTCAGTTGCTGTATGCTGTGTGACTAGCGGCCTCCGTAGTCTAGAGGTAACGTTCCCACCTCATGACTCGTAGTACGCAGGTTCAAATACCCGGCGGAGGTCTTCGAATTTTTAAGGGCGGAAAAATTCAGGGAACAAGTCCTCCGGGAGGGACTTTTAAGCCGTGGGTCTCGTGTCGTAGCTTTACGGCACGTAAAAGAACCTCATATCTCCAAAGGTCACTGAGCCAAATTACGGACACATCCCGCCCAACAGCAGTCTAACACCTCTGGTAGATGGAGGAAGCATTATAGATACCTCTCAGCTAGTAGAGCCGGTCTCGCTGGCTGGGCGGGACTGATGGTAAGCACCAGTACTGGTAGGATATAGAGACTGGTAGAATATCATAGAGGGAAGCACAATGGACCAATACAGGTCTCAGTGCATGGGGAAACCCACCCTCTCCAATAACTAGCTAACTATCTATGCTGTGTGACTACAAAGCCACTGTGAAGTGTGTGAACATGTAAGCTTGTATTCCCACCTCTTCTGATAACACCTGCACTAAGAATACGTACCATAAGCTATGAGGAACTCACATACAGGTCTATGACTTGCTGGATTTGAGCTCTGCACAGTGGTGGTTATGAAGAGTTCTGTCTTCTGGGATGTAACAATGTGTAGTCCGTTGAAAGTCAAGTGACATTTCGGAGGAACGTATGGCCTTCATCTTCAGCATGATACCACCATGAAAGCAGGTGACAAGCACCTCCTTGCTCTTGTTCAACCATGAAAATGGCGGCAATATGTTCCTCTAAAACGTTTGTTGACTTTCAGCGACTTAGGGGGCATTGTATCCCAGAAGACCACTCTTCGTGCCTGTGACTGGATGGATGAAGGATTACTTGATTGCTTCTCATGCCAGTGCATGGGGTACCAATGAACCATGAAAGTAACATTTTTATTTTATTTCTCAGAGTGGTGGCTAGGCTATTGTAGTTAACATGAACACACTGCCCCTAGTGCAGACGTACCAGAGTATGGTGTCACAACCAATCGAACCCTTCATTGCCATGAAAACCACATATCATTGACATGGTCTAATAAAGGGACAGGAAGAAACTGAAATCAAACCTGTACAGTTTATTGCAATACTGAACTGAACCCTCAAATACACAGGAATGTTAACATAACATGAACATATGACACCATGAACAGCTATTTCTTCTTCTTTGATTTTGATGGTTGCTCAGATGGCTCGTTTTCTGGCCGCGGTTTCTGCCACTGAAGAGGTTTCCTCCTGTACATGGGCCATGGTGGGACTGTTACCTGAAACAGGGTTTCATGAGCCACTGTTTCTGGAATGCCAAAATCAGCATGTCATTCTTACACTCTGACTAGTGCATGTAGATGCAAGTTAATGGGATACAAGGCTGACAAATGAAAATAGCATTTTCCATAACAGCAAGACCCAGTACAGCTGCTTATATGTTTCTACATTGTGTGGGCTGTGTGGCAGGCACCAAATGAGTACTACTATGATGCCCCTATACACAGAGTCCTACATTTCATACATACAGTGTTGGGTGGTATGATGACTGATAAACAGCAAAGGATTTTAAAGTGGTCATGACCTATTTGAGGTACTATCCCAGTATTTGCCTATAAAGAGTGATAGAAGCATGAGAAACGGTGGTCAGGATCTGAAACAATTTCTGAATATGAATCTGACGTCAGAGTCCCACTTGGACACTGGTATCAACAGTTACCAGCAGAAGCACAGAAACGTTGCTTGTGGTATATACTGTCTGTGGTTAAGTTACTTGCATCATGACAGCAATATGATGCGAATCACATGCAAGAAGACAAAACTTTGCTTGTAAAAAGTTCTGGTGTGTACTACACTACAAATGTGAGGGCTGTAGCCAGCTGTCCCTGGAGCTAATGCCTGCTAAGTTTCCAAAAGGTAATGAACCAAGAAACAAACCTGTAGTATCTGATCTCAGAACAGACTGAAGCATCAACCAAAATGAACATCATCAAACAGACGATCAGCCTGTGGCAGATCAGTAACACTGCCATGCACATCCTGTTTCCATTTAATTACAGCAACGTTTTATGGGGGGAAAAAAAAGATGTGATAATGCAGCTTCTACAACTCCTGAAGTTTCATCAATAAGAACGCCACTCGCATACTGCAAAATCTTGCTAATCCTGTCCCAGTCACTGTATTAGTTTCTAAAGGACTCTGACAGTGGTGCATTACACTCAGAATTACTGGGTTTTCGGACTCTGTCCATCCGGTATACTAAAAACCAGACAACACAATGTTTTGGAAAGATACAGCATCCAAAATGTTGCGTTCTCTAGTTTTGGAATACCAGACAATGGACAAAGTCCTAGAACCCATGAATTCTGCCTGTTAATATATGTTCAGGTAAATACAACAGTTTCTTTAGCTCATTCTTTTCAACTATCACAGTCACTGTTGCCCCATAAGTGAAAACAATAAAAGGTAAAGTTATCCCTGTACTTAGTTATGCACTACACCATGAAGATGTGTGAGGGTGGAGGCACAGCTCCACCATTCTTAACCGTGACAGGTAAGCGGTCAGCTTCACACTCCTGCCACTTTACCCCCAGGGAAACAACCCTTAGCACCCAATGTACAATGGCCGCAGAGCCATCTGCATGCTATGAAGATGAGAGAAATCTCTTGCCCCTGCTGGGAATCGAACCATGATTTCTCAGCCTGTATCCTAGTCACTACAGAAAATTTGCTATACTGGCCCCACAAGTGACCATGTTTACTTACAATTGCTGCAAGAACAAATCCAGCTCCAAGAATGTACACTGTTTGTGAGAACTGCTGTATGATGTAGCCCCACACAAGTCCAACAACCTACAAGAAACAGATGATAGTTTTCTAACTTCAAAATTATTCTAAGACTGTAATCTTCTGGATGTGACGTGATGTGATGTCAAGACGTTTACAAAGTTTCAGAGAAATCTACTGTCTCCATCTTCTGCCCTAATCATGGTGGCAGTATGATCCTCCAAATTACTGATAACTGTCGATAAGACTACTTCATGTCACACTCCAGGAAACCTAAGCTTTAATGTTCACTGCTGCTGAACTTCAAATCCCAAAATTATCATACATATGGTCCCTATAAAATGACATTTAGTCATCTGTCTTTTGGTACTTTATGTGCTAATTTCCAAGTTTCGTGTTGTTGAATAGTTGACATTCAAATATTATGAAAGCAAACGTTGTTAGAATACAATTCTGTACTAGGTAAATTATACAGTTACTCACGCCAAACAGTGTTATGATAATCCGAGACAATTTTTCTGCCCTCCTCTGGCCATCATAATCCTGTTTATAAAATACAACATACAAAATTAGTTCCTGAAAAATGCTATCACGATTCCAATCTATACTTTAACCATTATGAGACCAAGTTCGCGTTGCTACAAAAGAATAAATAATAGTCTATACGCGGCAGTTGGTAATAATGCCACGCAACGGAACTTAACCTCACATCTGAAATCCTATACAATACATCCCTCACAGTATGCAACATTGCATAAGGAAGGAAAACTATAGGACATATTACTTTCATGAAGTGTACAAAATACTTAACTCATGCCATAATCACTCGTGTTAGAGTTTCATAAGATTGTAAATCCAATGAAAATAAAATAAATATTCTGTGCCCAAACAGTAGGTGTAACACAACAATAAACACCGGATCTTACCATATGAGTAGGAATAGAGTCGAAAAAATACATTTCGTTTATGCTACCTGCTATTCAATATATAACTAGAGCCCACAAACTTGTATATCGTACTGCGTTTGAACTAATGGCTTTACATTCCGAACACGTCACGATGGTCACGATTGCTAAGTACAACTCCCACCACGGATGACATACATGCACGCAATTTGTTACAGTATTACGTCACACTTCTGAACAGATCGTCCTCCCGAATAATCTGAAAATTAAATAATAAATACGTAATTTAGTACACTTTGGAGAGACTTAATAGTAAGGAATGAAATTCGTTACCTGTTATTTTGTATGGGTGTAAAACTTGGCTTCTCACATTAAGGGAAGAATATAGGCGGAATGTGTTCGAGGACAGGGTGCCAAAAAGAATATTGGACCTAGGCAGATTGATAGAAGAGAAGGGCGAAGAAAATTGTACAACGAGGAATGTATAATTTGTACTCGCCATATATTGTTGGAATACACAACTTTGGGTTTTGTAATATGTTGGGACTTTCTTAAGTAGTAGCTGAGGTACTGTTAGCTACTCAAGGAGGACTTTGCTCAATGGAGTTTGTTAACGGAGTCAATGAAGTATTCTGCTGTCGGTTGTCCATTAAATTGCTGAGCTGTTGTTCCATGTACCTACTGTCGTATGTTACCAGTTCACAATTCTTTGTATATATTTCTTCTGAGTTAACGTCTCACAATATGCCAGCGTAATTAATTTATGTTGTTTTATCAGCCTTCGTACGAATTTTTTGTATATGCATGCCAAGAATAAACAGCAATGGAAATTTATTAAGAATAATACGTGTAAAAAACCAAAGTGTTATCAATATCCATTACGTGTTGCAATTCAGCAATAGCCTGGGAATTAGTTACATTTCTGCAAGACACATAAAGCTGCAAGGCTTGATACAACAAATCTGCGAAAGTATTAATAATCTGATCTGCTCATCACAACTTCTTCACAATGTGCCCAGAACACAGGAAACTGTTTCAGAGGAAATATAAGTATCTGCAGCTGAATTATCCCGAGTGCCTATTATTGCAACTTAAAAAAATGCAATGAAAAAGTAAGGAAACACTGCAGCACACTAATGTATTCTTCCTAAGTGTTTATCAGATGCCTTGCCTTAATCAATGTTCACTGCATTCATCTTTAGTCTTTCCCGAAGACTGGTTAATTTATCCAGAATCTGCTGATGACGAAGTTCAGCTTCTTGATGTTGTCTGCCAAGCCGTACAAGCATTGCTTGATTTCTTTTCCGAATTATTACGTTTTCTTGTTCAATTTTCGACGCCTGTAACTCATTTTGCTCGGTTTCCTTCTTCTTCTCTTGGAGTTCCTTTTTCATTGAGTGAATTTTTTCAACTAACGCTTGTTTCCTCTTAAATTTTTCATTGCAACTGTCAACTTCATTGCCTGCGTTTCTTAATTGTGCTGCATATCGCTCCATTCTCTGATAAATCCCATACTGAAAAGCTTGTTGACTTAATAAGGTTAATTTGGCTTGATTTTGAGACCACCGTATTTTGTCGATATCACTGTCTAATTCTTCGTTCTTCTTCTGGAGATGCTGTATATGGTTGTTCAATACATACAGGCTGTGATCCAAGTCGGAAATCTTTTTACGAAGTTCCTTATTCTTGTGTTTGGCCTCCTCATATTCATATTCTTCATGTACATATTCACGTCTAGGCTTTAAGTCTTCCAAATCTGCCAGAGTAGAAATTCCCGCCACTGGATTTTGTTCCAGCGTTTCACCACGTGAAATCCCAGGTGATGCATTTTTCATTTCTGCCATTGTAAATGTGCAAGTAATTTCAGGTAGGGCGCCGCTATAAAATATATGACGCACTTCAAAATAATAACATCTTTCAAAATGGCGCCTCGGTCGAAAGAGTGTAGGAGTATAGCTTCGAATCGTCAGTTATCCGTGTTCGTTTGCAACTATATCGTGATCCATGCTTAATACACTGTATTGTATGTGTACCTGTGCCTCTTTCGAAGTTGATTGTTCAGAGGGACCACATACACTGACAGCGTGGATAAGTAAACAATAAATATTTAAAATCATTCCATATTATACAATGCAGAGGAAAGGAAACGACAAAAAAATAATAAATACGTAGGTACGTAGGTATATGTAATGGTTTCCATTGCGTTGGAGATTACAAACTCTTCATTCGTATATTTTCTTTGCCTCTTTGTTCGTTGGTCAGTTAACCTGCGATGTAAATGACAATACTTAAAGACTTAGAAGGCACTGGAATTACTGGTTAGTCTGTTGTTAGAAGTCGATTTTGTTTACGAAAAATGTCGTACAAGGTGAAACCAAGAGACATATCACCTTTACTTCAGAAATTAAGAAACTTCCTGCTAGGACGAGAACACACCAATGCCCTTCGTTTTGCAGAAGGTGTGTCCGCTCGAACACAGCCACCACCTAACCTTCCGGAAGGCCCCGCTCACTTACTGGCAGATAATTATTACTACTCACGTGATGGCAGGAGGGAAGTCAGACCTCCAGTCTTACTCGCAGATGCAGGGCGTATTGCGCTTTCTGAGGGTGGTACTGAGGTGATTAGTAGTGGTTCTGCAGTTGCTGTGGGAAAGAAGCCTCCAACACCAGGGAAGCCTTGGAAGTGGGACTAAACGTACAGTGAACTGCTGTTCGTCTGTGTTCAGTAGGGAATGCCAAATACATGTACAGTACTTAGTGAAGTAAATAGGGTGTATGATATTTAAATTAGTTTGCCATAGATTGTGATCAGTAAAAAAATTGTAGTTCATAGAAATCAATGTATATATTAGTTCTCATGCATTCATTAAATTGTTAAGACGTATTCTGTGTCATTTTAAGTGCCTTGTTTTCGTCTTTATCATCAAAATGTTGCAGAGGCAGGAGACGAAGCATTTTTACTTCGCAAATTAGTAATTCTTGATTTTTTAAATTGTGGCGCAAGTAATGGTGGTGGACTTCTATGCTCACTTCCAAATTGTGTTTTCAGTTGGATATATTTGTAATAATTTTTGTTCATGGTTGAATATTAGTTACCTTTTTTTTTTTTTTTTTTTTTCGTTTTGTGCATCCCGTTGTGTTATTATACACACCTTCCTTATTAGAGTCCATCACAACACAACAATATAAAGGTCAAGGCTAAAATTAGCTTGGCTACATGTTTTGGCTCATAAAGCCATCATCTGGCAAACACATGATTACCATATTTACACACTACTAAACTAAAAAGTTATGACATAAAATAAGTTTAAAAACTCTTCATGTGCTATTGCATATCATCAAGTCAGTTGTTACAATCTTGTTATATTCCCACAGACATAATGGTATATTCTAGACTTGTATACATGTAGTAAACTGCTTGGAGGCCCGTGGTATAGGTGTAATATAGTTTTGATGTTAATTGTTTAGCTGGTACCTCATCTTACAATGTATTTGTCCATTCTGTAGGGAATATAGATTGCAGATCAATCCAGTCCATGCCAGCCCATCCTATCTAAGATCCACCTTATTATTATCACCCACCTATGTCTTGGCCTTCCTAGCGCTCTCTTTCCTTCTGTCTATCAAAATGTGGTCAATTTTATTGTGTATCTTCCCATCAGGAGATGTCCAAGTATATTTATTAATGTTACAATGTGGGAACATTGTACTTTTGACCGTAAGATTTTTTGGTGTGGCAAAGTTTACTACTCTGACTCCATTATCATTACTAATTTTGGGCAAACTCTCATTCCCAGTCTTTGGTTTGGAAAATATCATCCCTACCTACTTTGACATTAAAATCTCCTAAAAAATTTTCGCATGATATTTCTTCATAGAACCTGTCCTTTATATAATCAGGTTTATCTTCTGTTGGGACATGAACATTCAGAACGATGATATCACACCAGCGACCTCTTAGTATTATGTATGACATCCTGTCACTAATGAACTCTACCCTCCTAACTGCTGATAAGATTCTCTTATGTACAATATAACCTGTGCCTAATTCATGATTTTCATTCCCCTGTCCATAGAAAAATGTATATTCACCTGCTGGTTCGGTGCCACCTTCACCCCATCCAACCTTCTGTACTCCCACTAAATTTAACATATAGTTTGAGATTTCTTCTGCCACTGCCCTGAGCGAACCTACCGTATACATACATCTAACATCCCAAGTACCAAATCTAATATCCAATTTCTTTCGCTTAGGCCATTTATCCAAGGACTCCATCCAGGTCCTACACTTCTTGAAAAAATTTGTAACAAGCTTTTCTTTTTTTAACGGTGAGTTGTAGCCCCACGCCCAAACCCAAGGGAGCACCACTCCTTGTCAGCTGTCCATGACTGCTTGTTCAAAATATTCACAGCTACCCTCCATATCTGGAGGGCATCTCCTCTATCTGCAACCTGAGGATGTGCCATGCTGTGGTGACAAGGGACCCACCTCTCATGGATATGGCCATCCTTAGGTGTTAAAAATGTTTAATGAGGAAACTGCTGTCTTCTGTTGTTAATATATGCAGGTCCTCTTGATGTGCATATATGTTGGAGTTGGTGCGCTGTGTTCTCTGCTGTATGTCATGTTCCTTGTTGTATATTGACATCATCAAAAGACAGCAGTTTCCTCATTAAAGACTTTTAACACATGATAGTGGGCATATTGGCTGACACATAGTGAACTTTTAAACTTTTAAAGTTAACAAGTTCATGAGATGTGGTGTTGCACGTAAGACTGAATAATCGACATAAGTGGAAAGTGCAACAGGATGCTACAGAACAATATCAAGTCTTCTCATAATTGCTATATTTCCATTTCAGATATCGTCATTAGAAATCTAGAATTAATGAAACCTGAAATAAATGCCTTTCCAGATGGTAACACATGAGGTGGAGGCAAGTGTTGATCTTGCAGCTGAAGAATAATTATTTTCAGTGTGACTACTGTCACAGCAGTTTTTTTCTACTGTCCGCTATTTGAGAGTTGCCCCCACCACAGTAATGCCTTGCCTTCTTCTCTTACCCAAGCTCCTGTACAGCCCACCAAGATAAAGACAGTCACTCCTGTAAATTGACAGATGATATGCTGCTTGTTCAAAATCAAATAATATTCTCCATAAACTAATCAGTCTCTCCCTCTGGTTAAGAGCCAAGGAATATAAAGTAGATGAATTGAACTTGTACATTTTTCTGGCTTTAAGACTTCTCGGTGTGGATAGTTTGGGCTCAGTGGTTAATCTAGCTAGAAAACATGTCAATCATAGTATCTGCAAGGAGAGGTGCCATTTAAGGATTAGATTAAGATGTCACAGACTGAAGTACTGCAATGTGACGAGGAGTTGAAGTTGGTCCAATGAGGAAACCTCGGGCAGCAACTTGTACTGCATCAGTTTATTTCAAACTGCACATAATATTTGTGGGCCCCCCCCCCAGCCCTTCCTATCCTGCGTGATAGGTTATGTAGCTTTGAGTGGTACTTCTGACTGTCCATAGAGTCATTCTTTCTTTCTCCTGATTATTCACACTCATGCATTGTGTATACAATATGTACAAACTGATAGGAAAAAACGTTACTATTTAAAAATTTTGTAGTAATACTAACATCTATTCCCCGGTCACAGACATTGCAAATCATCAACCTGAAACTGTTACAAAGAAGTTATCTGTGATTACTTGCGAAGTCATTTTTGGTATTTGATCCGTGGCAGTTTGTGTACATTACTCTTTGATATTATTGCGTTCGCTTATGTCGAAGGTAATTTTATTCACATTTATGTTTGTCATGATTTATTAGGAACACATTAATATTTAACAGTGTTCACTACACGTACATCATTTAAGTAACACAAGAGGAGTAACAACTGCATGGTATTTGTACCATGATATATTTTAATGTATAGAGTAAATCTATTATTTTAATTACTCGTAGGTAAAGGTAAGTTACATAAATGTTGGCAGCTCCGATTTTTTGAATGGTAGCGTATTCATTTCTGTCAAAGACATTTAAAATTGTGTTTAGGTTCGTGAATAATTGTAAGTAGAAAAGTTTCTTGTTAATATTTTGTAACACCGAATTTGTGCGGCTGTTTGAGGGAGCCAGGTAATTATATAGCATAATATCGATACATCAAATTGCATATAAGTTCGAACTTCTTGGCACTGCTGCTGTAACGGTTTTAAGCCTGTGGCTTTGATTTCAGCATTTCTGGCTTCCTTGTATTAAAATGAAATTAACTTTGTTTTTAACGTGTAAATATTGATTGCTGCGATAATGAATACAGGTTATGCGTTCTGCTTCCAAACCATGTCTACATGTTCCTATTTAATCTATTCATGGACCATAAACTGAAGTAAATTTTATTATCTATGTTCAGAAGTTTTGAAGTCCCTTTCTAACGACATTGTCAGCAGGTTATATATTGACAGGGCACACAAGAATTTATGTGGAATTAGAAAAATGTAATTCTCCCATCCATGAAATCTTTGATTTTTTTACTTGATTTCTTTTTTCTGAATATAGACCATTAGATAATTATGTAACCTATTTTATTGCGGCACAGACTGTGTGTCGTTAATTGTGAGATTATACCGACTAATGTTGAGTTGTGCAGGTGTGCATTCTGATAATATGTTCATGATCTAATCCATTAGTAAAAGTCAAGCACTGAAGGTTGTGTAATCATTTGTTTACAGAAATTAATTTGTCACCTAATGGACAGAGCCATGGATGATGTGGAGTCATATTGCAGCAGTGATGATGAAGTACTGTATGGGCCCATCACAAAGAAAGAAATTAAAAAGACTTTAGAACTGAGGAGACAGACAAAGATACACAGACCAGTCTCAGAGTATGTCACTCAGTTCATGTAAATTGCTTCATCATCACAAATCTTTAGACTCAGTGCATTATTCTCTTCAGTAGTTTTATGCACTTAGTGATAATTTGAGATGTGAGCTTCTCATGTTGGGGACTGTACCTAGCCCTATAAAGGGCCAGTATTCTTTACTCTGTTATTACTCCTAGTGGATTGGTCAGATCTCCGATTCTACCCCTCACTGTATTTGTATTATTTTCTTCATGCTTGGCTTGTCCTCTGAAGATGGAAGTAGCAGGTTCCTCTGAAATATAACTATTAGAGAAAGTCAGTCATGCATATACAGTGCACCCTCTTCCCACATGAAGCATAATGTATACTTTGCTGCAGAGCACTGGACAGTTTCAGGCATCAAATACAAATGTGACAGTTCATCATACTCATAACCATGTTTTTTATTCATTTATTTTTCATTAATTTTTATTCTTTAGCTGCTTATTTAATGACACTATCAGGATTTAGGCTATATAGTGTTGGACATAAAATAACGGTAAAGCTGTCCCTGTAACAGGCTGTGGAGGCCTGTAGGGTTGTGAGACGTCAAAGCTCCCACATTTTCTAGATAATTGGCTCACAGAAGGTGGTGAGGTTGTCAGCCTTATGTGCCAACTACCCTTTACCCCCAGGAAGATTCCTGGTACTCATTTCTGTTCAAGGCTGAGTCGACCACAGAACAGTCATGCAGCTGGAATGGATTAGGTCAATTGAAAAATCTGCTGACCTCTTTGGGAAATGAATCCACGACCCAGCTGGTAGCATAGTGCCTCAACCAACTGCACTGCCCAGTGCCCCAAGTGTTGGACATGTGCCATTTAATCAAGTTGCATGTTCTGTGTTTAAAGATGAGAGATGGGTGGAGCTGGCTCATAATCATGTTCAGTGACAGGCCATGGACTTGTCGGTTCTGTTACCAGAAATAGTTATCCAAATGAGGTCATTGTCATGAACATTGTGTTATTGTTTAGGTCCCACCTTACCTTTTATTGAGAAGCTTAACATGTTGTAAGGAGCCAGGATTGTGACTGGCTATGAACTGAACGATTGAGGGGCAGAGTTGAGTCCCAGTAAGGTCAAGAATTTTCTCCATGTCATCCAGACTAGCTTTGGGGCCCACCAAGCATCCTGTCCAATGGGTACCTCGGGCTTTTTCGCTGGGGGTAAAGCGGCAGGCACGTGAAGCTGACCACTCACCTCCAGCTAGTGCCAAGGTCAAGAAAACGTGGATCTATACATCCACTCTGCCATACGCCTTCATGGTGCAGTGCTTAATTAAACACAGGGACAATTTTTTTAATGTGTTGTAAAGAGATTAATGGGTTTTTGGACTTTGTCCAACATCTGAATTCTAAAAGAACGCTAAAGGACCCAGTGTTTTGGAAACTGCATCTGTTTCTCTCTTCAGGTGAGGGGGTGGGAGGCAGCTCCTCTGTTGGGTCTGTTAAGAAGTGCTAACCCAATCACTGGAGCCATCCAGACACTGAAAGAGTTCTAAGGGAAAGACAAGCCAAAGAGAGGAACACTGACCTGTGATGGATGGAAGGTTATGTCATGTGGGGTCCGGTGCCACATCTACAGCTCAGCTGGTTTTCATGACATGTCTTGAACCTATAAATTCAAAATCTTTGGCAGATCCTGCCTGCAATGTCACGTCCATATTTGTTCTGAAAGAATTTGCTCCCTGTCATACTGTGCATAGCATTGTGTTCCTATATTTTGAACTAATTTGTATGCAGTGTGTTCATTAAATATATATACAGACTAACCTAAAAGTCACACACCCATAAGGATTTGTGTAAACTAACCCCATAGGTAGGAATTGAAGTTCATTAACTCTTAATATGGAGGCGATACATTCCTCTGAAACATCGGTTGACTTTCAGCAGTCTACATCGTCTACATGCTGTTATCTCCAAGGAGACAGTATTCTTCCTAGCCCCTTGTGACTTATTTATTTATTATTATTATTATTATTATTATTATTATTATTAGAGGGGTGGGTTTCCCCATCGTGCGTCCCCCTTTAATTTCTACTGTCGCCATACCCTACTGGTACTGGTGCGTGCTATCAGCCCCGTTCAGCCAACGAGGTCGGTCCTCGGTACCTGATATTTCCCCCATCTACCAGAGGCATTGGAAACTACTTGGGTGGGAAATGTGTTGCCTAATTTTGCTCAGAGGTCTCCTAGAGACGTGAGGATCTTTTACGTGCCGTAAATCTACAACACGGGACCCACGGCTTAAAGTCCCTCCCGGAGGACTTGTTCCCTGAATTTTTCTGCCCTTAAAAATTCTACGATCTCCGCCGGGTTTGAACCAGTGTACCTTGAGTCATGAAGTGGAAACGTTACCCCTAGACTACAGAGGCCGCTCCCATGTGACTTAGAGTGATTACTAAAATAAAGATGTTTGTCCCCTGGATAAATGATACTGAGAAGATTAACACAATGAGAAACTGCTGAGGGAAATGGGGTTTCATGTGTACAACTGATTTACTTCATTATTAATTAAAGTGCCCATGGTGTCCCACTTTTGGGCAAGCATATATAATGTGTATAGGATTCAGAGATCTTTTGTTGCGGTCTCACTGAATGCATTCTGTTTCAACATTTTTAGGTGCGGGGATGGAACTCCAGGCAGCACCTCTGCAGGTAAAGTGCTTTTGGTACATCAGTGTAATCAGTTTTGCACAGCGCCACATTCTGTCACCTCAAACTGACGTGGCAACTACTCTTATGTTGCATCATTGTCAGGCTGCTACCACTTCCATCCACATCCTTTTCAGTTCATTTTACATTGATCCTCTTACCTTACAGTACTGTAGAGTCTGAGGTACTGACCGCATTGTTCAATGTATGCATGATATTGTTACGTGTGTGAATAAGCATGACTGCAGATGAGTTTTGGATTGATGATTGGATTTCTTGGACTCTTTGATACAGTGTGTGACAATGCTTGATCCAAGGTCATTACACACACACACACACACACACACACACACACGCACGCACACATGCACGAGTGTCCACAGTCACACCTTCATTAGTTGTTGCCCAGTGGCAAATTGCAGTGGTGAATGTTCCCCTTCCTGTGGGTTCCCAAACATTCCCTGGTGTCTATGTAAGATTTGAGGCTTTCACGGCGGTGACTATGAAGAAAGCAGTCTTCTGGGATTTGGCACCGTGTATATGTGGTGTTAACCGACGTTTCGGAGGAACGTATCGCCCCCATCTTCAGGGTTGAAGAAGTATAAGTAAATCTGCAAGCGACAACACCGTGAGACACGGTCAAGCAGACTAAAGAACATACCGTTGAGCAGAGAGGGAAGGGGATGAACTGCAAGTAAACAAGTGAAAGCAGTGGTGTGGGAGGAGAAGACTGCTTTCTTCCCTGGTGTCAGCTACCAGCTTCTCACAGCAGCAGCTCACAACAACTGAACCCCAGTGGTATTGACTAACTCAGTCACTCACCAACCTAGTAATGAAACTCAACTCAACTGACTCTCACTAACTAACTGTGCAGCATATAACGTCTTGCCACAAACCACATAGAACACATTGTGTCTCTGTTGCTGTTAATTGGCCGTTGTATGGAGGTTTCAAATAAAAGAGGCTTAATATATACTCTTACCGTTATATTATGAAGAAAGTTTAGGAACACTTGTGAAAACCATTTATACACTCTCTGTGATGTGTGTGTAATGTAGGGTTGGCTCCACTGCAAAATGCAGTGGTATACACAGACAGCGGAAAGGTCTCATTTGAGCTCATGAAAAACTTAAGTGTATATTCAGGAAGTTTGAATGCATTCAGGAAGTTAGTTTGGAAGATATTCATTCTTAAATCTGCTGTTCTTGAATTACAACATTTAAGGTGCCTGTAATGTTAAGAGGGAACTATTGTGATGATGATGATGATGATGATAATAATAATAATAATAATAAACTAGGGTTGATAGATTAGCTTTGCATTATGTCTTCAATAAGCGGATGAAAAATTTAGAGTTTTGTTCTGTTTTCTTTATTTTTAAGATTATAAATGCATTTAGTTCCTTAGGGGATAAGGGCTGTATGTGTATGATTTTACTGAGTAAAATGACAATAGAAATTTAAAAAGAAATCCATATATTCTAATTCCTGTGTTCAACTGTTCATGTTTCAAATAGTGTATCCTTGTTTTCTCTTTTTCACAAAATTTGGAGAACCAAGGTGACAGTGTTGTATAAGCCTTATGGCCTGCATGACTCATTCAGTGTAGTCAAAGGCTACAAGCTGGGTGACTTGGAATTTGGAGTTTCATTCCTAGTACGGGTGGAGATTTTTCTCTTGATGGTATCCAGTAGGCTCTGCGGGCCACCCAGCCTCCTGTCCAATGGCACTGAAAGTAAAGCAGCTGGGGTGTGAAGATGACCAATCACCTCCATCTAGTGCCAAGGATAAGAACATATGGAGCTGCACCTCCACTTCTGCATATATCTTTATGTGGTGCTGCTCAGTTAAGTACAGGGACAGTTCTGCCTCCCATATTTGTTATTGGCAGCCCTGTCTTGTCTCTTCAGTACTGGGATGGCAACTGCACCAGTGATTTCCATGTGATGACCAGCAGGGGCTGTGATAAGGACAACCATTGGTGGCAGACTTCTGTTAATTTAAGAAGGAAAGATGGGTTTGTGCTACAGGATGATAAGAAGTACAGTATGCGCCAAAAAGTGCAGTACTGAAACTCGCACATCTAGAATGCGCATGTGTGTTTGTCGATGGGGCATAGCTCCAGCCACACGTGTTCCTAGTGGTGAAAAGAAAGTTGTGTTGTGCAGTTGTTGGAAATGGGTCTCTCAACGGAGGAAGAAGTATTCATAGTCGAGTATTATTTCTGCTCATATGGAAGTGGTCGTGAAGGGGGACCAAGTTTGAAAAAGGTGACAGAACAATTCAAAGAGAGGTTTAATAAGATGGTACCAAGTAACACAGTTATGCTGTCTGTTGTTAGGAAATTTCGCCATTCTGGTAGTGTAGTGTGTCAACGGAAGGGGAAGTCTGGTTGACCAGTAACTGTTTCGACAAAAGAGAATTACACACGTGTTCTTCAGCAGGTGCTGCATTCGCCCCGACGAAGTTTACGATGAACGGCCTTGAAACTGAACATCAGTGATACATCTGTTTCCTGATTGTTTAAGGACATAGGTGGGTTTCTGTACCGGATACAGGTTGGACAACGCTTGACAGAGTCAGATATGTAAGGCAGGATGGTGTATTGTGGAACATTTTTGGCCATGGTGTACAAGGATCAAGAATTCTTGAGGAATGTGTGGATCTCCAACGAAAGTTACATTCACTTGAACGGCTACATCAATCGCCAGACAACACGCTTCCTCAGTTTTGAGCAGCCAGTATTGTCCAGAAACTGCCACACAGTACACATGTGATGATATGGTGTGCTGTCTCAGCACACAGTATATTAGGCCTGTATTTCATTGAGGATGCTCGTACCGTCACCCAAGAATGCTACAGGGACATGGTGATCGCTAATAGTATGTATGTTAGTTTCTTTCAAGAGAAATAAACTCACAGATGACAAAAGGTAATATTGTTCGTCTTTTCATTTCAGTACTGTATATTTTGGCGCATACCGTAATTCACACTTACATGCAGGCTCATTTGCAAACAGTACTTCAAACGGCTGATGAGTATTTGCGCACGCAATTTGGTGACATGTGATCCCTTCTCAGAAATGACTGAAGTTCTGTGATTCTGTATCATAATTTTTAACTACAGTGTATACTAATGTCATAATAAACTCTTCCAAGTGAATATATGTTTTCATTAATAAACTTCATTACATCTATCGAAGAACATTTTCAGGCCAATGCCGATGTACACAGTGTTAACACAAGACACAAGTACCATCTTCATAAACCAACTGCTGACATCTCGTGCGTTCAGAAAAGCACATACGATGCTAGAAACAAAATTTTCAGTAATCTGCCATCTGATCTCAAAAATCTTATGAACCATAAAGCATGATTCCGAATAGCACTAAAACGATATTTAAATACATTCATTCTAATTTGTTGATGAAAACTTTTTGTCTAAAAAGTAACTCCTCCATTTAAAGGTTGTATAAATAGCATAAGTTGACACTGTTGATATATATGGATGTATTTTTTAATAGCCTCATGTGTAACCATTGTTTTCTTGGGGTCTCCTATGTGAAGACGTCAGTTGTACTGTACACATGTTTTGTATTTATATGACATGTTCCACATCCTACAGTCATTCTGAGTAACTCTGGGTCCAGGAATGCAATGTAATGCAGTAAGCATAAATACTATTTTGAATTGCCCTGAGTGCCTGGGTGGAAGAGGTGGTGCTTATAATTATGCAGTTTTCTCACATTTCCTCCTGTCTTCAGCTGGCTATTTCTTCCTTGCACCACAGAGCAAGAGACAGGCAGTTTGGAGAGTCATGACTTCAGCAGCAGATTTTGGAGTATTTGGGCTGAAGGTCTCAGACACATGGCTGTGTGCCTGTGGCATATAAACATGTAAATAGTTGTGGTGTGGGGCAGATGGCAAGCTTCTGTTGCATGTTGAAGCATAAAGGGAAACATTTCTGCGTGTTCATTCTCACTGATATATCCGCTCATACACTTATGGTTTGTTGGTTATTTTGTTACACATTTTTTAAATGAAAAATCGATATGAAAGAGCATTTTGCTTCTGCAGCAGTTATCTCTGCATGCCAAGGGCTCATCTTGCTTGGTTCTGTCGTGCATCCTGCGATAGGAACTGGGACAAATATTTTGAAAGAAGGGGCACTATTTTCTCATGAAAGAGATTACATTTTTCTTAAATGGAGGAAAATATGACAAAAGTTTCATGTTATTTCAGTCTCTACTTGATGCCATAATAGTAATTATAGAATACATCTGATATTGAAATGGGGTGCACACATGTGAAACAAAATGCATACCGAATTTGTATGCATGCATCCCATGGGAAAACTGGTGTGGGCATATAAGGGCAAAGATGAGGGGACAACAGGAAAGTTGTTATGATGAAATGAAATGGACTGACCTGCCTCAGACCAGAATATAATGAAATGTGTTCATCAGAGAGTTTCCTTTGGACATTATTCATGTTTAATTGTCCAGTGGACATATCCAAAGAATGAGATCATTATAAATTGTGTTTAGGTTGGCATTTATCTGCATTCAAATCTGGCTTATGAACATTTTGATTCCCATGATAGGTAAAGAAGAGACACGACGGAGCCTCACCGTAACTTTGCAACGTCCCAGATGCAAAGAAAATCTGACAGAGATGTGGAAGCACAGAAGTATCGAGATTCTGTTGGATTGTGATGAGAATGATGACAGTGGAGAAGCAGAGACCTTAGCGCCTCCGCCAAGTCCTGATCTTAGGTATAGTGGTTCTCCATATCCTACCCCCAGCCATCCTCACCAACGGCTGTGCAGCAGCCTCAGGGGAATTGCAGAAGAAGAAGGATGTGGAGGTGGAGTGAAGATGCAGAGCACCCCAGTGCATTTGTCTTTCTTGCCCAAGTATTCAGATGCAGAGCAGTTTGGAGAATGGAGTGACAGACACGCCCTCTCATATTCCTCTGTGGCATCAGATGAATCATTGTCAGTATTGTCAAAACTGAATGATGATTTATTGGATGATATGTCAAGACTGTCATTAGTACCAGTGATGTCTCGCAAAGAGACTCTGAAAACAAGCACCTTTTCAGGTGAGATGCCGCAAGTGTCAGATGAGGACACGAAGATACGAGGTATACTGATTGAGAAGATGGAGCAGCATGTGGCACAGACCCAGCGATTGAGAGCCACCAAGAAGCAGACTACCAGCGTCCTTGAAGATTGCAAGAAGCCATTAACATTTGAAGCTGAAATTGATGACATAATAATTTTGAATGATGTTCAAAATGACTTTTCACTGAATGAAGATATTCCTACCAACCAAGAAGCAGAAATATTGAATGATGATAATTTGGAAGTCACCTCAAGTGGATCTGAATCAAGTGTTGCAAATTATCAAGCACTAAAGCCTGACACTCCTGCTACTGGTGACAAGTCAGAAGGCTATCGGTTTTCAAGATTGATTCCTGAAAGAGAATTTGCTTCACTAGTGAGAGATCATGATGATATATTGTGTCAGAGCATTTTTCTTGGTGACCCTGAATTCCGTAATGATAGACAAGAAGTTGATGAGGCAATCACTGCTGTGGAATCTCAGACAAGCAAGGTTAGCATCGCTCATGACCACGAGCTGAACGATGCATCATTCACGGCTCCTGCTAGACCACCCTCACCAGAATTTGATATTGAAATGCCAGAACACAAAGCTTTGCTGCCTAGCAGCTCCTCACATAGTTACGTTGCAGCCGAGTATTCACTGATTTCTGAAGCTGATGACTGTTTGGAAAGATCTGCAGCGGATGATGGTGAGATGGAAGCGTGTGACAGGAACTGCGCTGCCGTCGGTGCTGATGAGGATGGAGGGTTTCTGTCTGTGCTGTCTGAAGCTGCTCTCTATCATGCCTCTCTGAAGCACACGGCTGGTCACAGTGTGGGACTAACAGAAAGCACTGCCATGTGTTCTGAATGTACTCAGGATGTATTGCGCTGTGCATGTGCGGCTCCTGCCGTTCTGTCCATATCCAAGGAATGTGATGGCGTGGAAGTGCATTTGGAGCCTCTTCCCCTGCCTGAAGCTTCTGGTGAGTCTAGAGAGGAGAGACGAGGCCAGGAGGAGTGTCCTGGAAGGGACGTCAGCAAGATGGGCACTGATGATGGTAATGGTAGTTCAGTGTCTGTTAGTCAAGAGGGCTCTGTGCTTAACAGTAGCTTGTGTTCACATGTGGGGTCATGTGGCCGAGAAATGGATGCTAGCAGCGATCTTAATGACTCTGACAGGAGGAATATTGGGGACACGAAGAACTTGGAGTCACATTCTGATGAAGAAGGGTTTCATGATACTCTAGAAGAGATGGAGCTCCTGTTGAAGTTTGGGATGGAGTACATGATGAGTAGTAATGATGGGGAGTACCTTAGCATGACAGGCAACCAGTCTCTTAGTCACAGCGTGTCGACTCCAAAGAAGCCACTTGGTGAGATGTTGGAGTTAGAAGATTTTGGAGATGCTATAGATCAAGTTGAGAGCTATTACAGTCCTGCAGATTGTATTGGGACCTCCTGCAAGGATTGCAGTGTTGCTGCTGAGGCATGCGTCTCAACTGTTTCAGACCAGAATTCTGTTAAAACTGTGTCAGCAAGTGAGACAGGTGAGAATGTGTTTCTGAAACCACCAACTACACCTCTGAGGAAGCCCCACTATAAACTGCAGGCTGTTGTCTCACCAACTCTGAAGAGCAACAAACCAAGTCCTTTCAAAATTCCAGTAAAGCCAGTGCTTCATAGCACACCTGTTCAGAAGCTGTTGCCTCCCAGAAGCACCAAGAAGAGCCCATTGAAGCCAGTTATGACAATGTCACCCTGTAGAAGGCCTGTGAACTATAACAAGATTGTAAGTCCTGTGGGAGCTTACATTCACAACACACCGTCCCCATCACTGCTCGCCACTGTGAAGCCAAAGCCACTTCATACAGTAACTGCAAAGGGAACATTGGTGGGCAGAGGTGCCGCTGCAATAGAAAGACAGGATCCTCTCTCTGGGATTCAGAAGACATCTTTGGAGGTTTGTGTTTCTTGTGTTCAATTATCAGTCAGAAGTTCCTGTTCTTTGCCAGGTTATGGTTGCTGTCCCTATGAATATCACTGTACATAGTACTTGAAGGTAGAAAGGCAAAGCTATCCCTGTAAAATTGCCGTCTTGTAGTGCACTCAATTTCACCTGTTACTTCACGACATGTTTCGGCAACATAGTGCCATCATCAGGTGCCCTGATTACGCTAATATATTTCATTGCTTGCCTTTATAAAATCATTTAAAGAGTATTTAAAAAATTTTATAAAGGCAAACAATGCAATAGATTAGCGTAATTAGGGCACCTGATGATGGCACTATGTTGCCGAAACATGTCGTGAAATAACAGGTGAAATTGAGTGCACTACAAGACAGCAACTGTATACATATCATGGATGAAAATCAGTGCAACAGGATGCTGAGATACAACATTATCCCTGTAAAAGGTCATGGAGGCTCCCACATTTTCTAGACACTTGGCTCAAAGATGACTGAGGTTGTCAACCGTACACGCCGGCCACCCTTTACCCCCAGAAAGATTCCTGGTATTCATTTCTGTTAGAGGCTGAGTTAAACCCAGGGCTATAGTACAGCTGGGAAAATTACATCAATTGAAAAATCTAATGACCTCATCGAGAACTGAACCTTCAACCTTCTGACTTGTAGCATAGTGCCTCGGCCAACTATGCTACTTCGTGCCCTGTCAGTACGTAGTACTTAGAACTGTAAAGTAGGAATAACACTCAAATTCAGAAATTGAAGTTTATTTGTGGAATTCAGAGGAAAGACTGGGAATGAGGGTTCAAATCACACAAAAATACTCTTCTTGCTATACTTACACAGCGCTTTAACAGCTGTGGCTGTAGTACATATTGGCAGGGGTTACTTACTTACTTACTTATGGAGCTGAGCCCTTCTTGAGGAGCCGTCAATTCTGCAGCTACTCAAGAATTTCCCAGCATTTTATGGAACCCGAAGGTTCATCACCGTGTTCACAAGAGCCCTCCACTTGTCCCTATCCCGAGCCAGATCTATCCAATCCATACCATCGCATCCTATCTCTCTAAGATCCATTCTAATATTGTCCACCCACCTACGCCTTGGTCTTCCCTGTGGTCTCATTCCTTCTGGCTTTCCCACAATATCCTATATGCATTCCTCGTCTCCCCCATTCATGCTACATGACCTTCCCATCTCATCCTCCTTGACTTGACCATTCTAATTATACTTGGAGAAGAGTACAAGTTATGAAGCTCCTCATTATGCAGTTTTCTCCAACCTCCTGTCACTTCATCTCTCTTCGGTCCAAATATTCTTCTCAACATCCTGTTCTCAAACACCCTCAGTCTATGTTCCTCCCTTAATGTCAGAGACCAAGTTTCACACCCATACAGAACCAGAGGCAAAATTATAGTTTTGTATATTCTAATTTTTATGTTTTTGGACAACAGATGAGAAGACAAAAGGTTCTGGACTGAATGGTAGCAAGCATTACCCGAGTTCAATCTCCTCTTAATTTCCTCTTGAATCAGGTTTCAATCTGTTATTGTTCCCTAATATCTGAACTGTGCCACATTTTCAACATATTGGCAGGGGTACAGAGTGAATTTCGTAGTATCTTTCAGTGTTCTCTATTGGGTCTGTGGTAGGAAACAGTATGAATATTATGATCTCAGGTCTTGTATTAGAGCACTAAGTGCTTGCAAGACTTCCCTGACTTCGATATCTGAGGGACAGCCCCATGTTACAGTGTGTATAGAGGAGCTGTGTATAGAATTAAGTTATCTAAGTAAACCACATTACTATACATTTTTCGCAGAAAATGAGCGGCCGTTGGAGAAGTCCTGCACTTCTATGTGTGTGCTACATTGCATGAGCTAGTTAACAGGTTTAATATTATACTTGGTAACAGCAGATCTATGGCTGCACTGTAGCTCAGGTAGCTGTGTGCTGGCTTTTCACTGCAGAACTTACAATTCAGTCCCAGGGGCTTTTTGCGAGGTTTGTAGTGGATGAAGTGGCACTGAGACAGGTTTTCCTCTGAGTTACTTTGATTTCCCCATGTTAATCACCATTCCACCATTGCTCCTGAGGTGTGTGATAGCTCTGACCATGCAGGAGATTATCACGTTCTCAGTCCTTAAGTTTGGAACTTCATCTGTCTGACTTGGCACTGGCTAGTGAGAGAGTCAGGAAGTTTTATTTTAGCATATTGAGAGTAACAAGGCTATCTGAGGCAATACAGGGCCTTCCCTCCACCCTTCAAGCCTATGTTATTTTGACATGATCACCATTTGTAGTCTCCACAGAAGTAAGAAAATGGACCAGTCATGTTTGATCATGTGGGTGCATATTGTACAGTTGCCTTACAAGTGCCTGTTTCATGTTCTTTTGGATTTATTTAGTGATGTTGTCAGTGGCTCAAGGAGCTGGGATAGCCCAGTTGGTATAGCAACTGACTACAGGCTGGCCAGGTTCTGGTATGATCAAGAATTTTCGCCATGTTGTCCAGACCAGCAGTGGGACCCACCCAGCCTCCTATACAATGGGTACTGGGGGCTCTTTCTCTGGGGGTAAAACTTCCATGGCATGAAGCTGACCACTCACCTCCAACTAGTGTCAAAGTCAAGAAAATATGGATCTATACATCCACTCCTCCATACACCTTCATGGTAGGGTGCTTAATTAATTAAGCATGGGAACAACTTTACCTTTACCTCAGTGGCTCATTGAATAGTGGTTGCAGATGGCAGGATGTTTAGTGAATAATGAATCAGAAAGAAAATGGTCGTGGCTAATCTGAGTACTGTCCCAGCATTCACTGGAGGGTGGAGAGACAGACGAGAAAACCACATCAGTCAACCATAGTCCTCATTTTGCAAGGTAACTGCGTCTGTTCCTGTCAGATGTCTCCATCATACAGAAAGTCAGAACACAATGGGAAGCGTTTGTCCTGTTGTCCTGCATTGCTTTTATTTTTTAATATCTTTTAGTATTTTATGCATTTAGCAAAATACAAAGAAGGAACATTACCAACACCTAATCCAGGATCAGTGAACTCCGAGATGGAGTATGCATTTTTCTTCTTCAGCTGTCATGTCTTTGTTTTTCCATTCATGGAAGCTCTTGACGTGGTGATTCAGAAATCTGTGTCTATAAGGAATCGATTAATGTGCAGCTTGATGCTGTTGCTCTTAGGCTGCGTATGACCTGTCTGATCCACTTTGCACTGCATTTCATGAGCTGCTTGTTGCCTCCAGGTTCCACGCAAACTGGACAGCAAGGGCCGAGAGAATGTGGACACCAGCAACATCCGTCCTGTTCTGCCCCTCGTGTCATACGAGAGTGTGCCATCAGTGAAACTGGTAAGACCCAGTCAGAGTGTCACAGAGTTTGGAAAGTGGCTGGAGCATGACTCTAACCTCTCACCGCTCTCAAGCTCTACATCATAATACTATTGTAATTAGGCAGTGGGACTTTGTGCGAGCTGTTTGCCTTCTCTGGACTGGGCATATGAATGTGCTGTAAGGTGTCTGTTCGAAGGATTCACATGCCTGTGGTTGCTCCTTGCAGGAGGAGCCACAGCAGGAGAGAATGCCACGTCTGAACGAGAAGATGAAGAGGCTGGTGGACACTCCGAAACCCCACGTTTTCCGGCATGAGGGTAATGACAATTGTAGAAATATTCTATCCATTTTCTTCTGGTTTTTGGTTTGGATTTTGGCATTATTGTGTCATGATCCATCACTTCTCAGCATGTTCTCAATACCCTCTTCTCAGATTTGCCTTATTCTCCTTGTGTAACCTGTTGCTCATTGTCTTGTCTGCCTTTATACTTCTGTGAATCATCAGCAGTGTGGATTTTCTAATGTTTGTTTAACATCAGCATCAAGCAGGTCACTATAGTGGTAATACTCTAGACTCATGTTTGGGAGACGTTCATTTCGAATCCTACCTGGGACATTGGCTATTCTGCCCGAGGCTTCTATGGCTTTTCTCGATGCCTGCAGACAGATACCAGGATGGTGCAGGGAGGACCCAATCTAAGTGACCCACACTATAACAGGATTTAGAGTGCAACTTTTGACAGCCAGAGCCGATGCAGTAGCTGTGGAGCATGGTACAGAACTTCAGACATGATCACAGGCAATGTTTTTACCATGAGTCGTACTCTCATAACATAGGATCACGTTGTGCTGACAGAACTAGTGGACACAGGCCTATTTACTGAAAGCAGTTTCTTTTAGTGAAGGGATTTGATATAAGTGTGGTTATATACCAAACGGAACATTGTGTGTTTCTTGTTGAGTTACTTCTAAAGACGTCTTCCAAGCCATGTGCACATAAATTTCAACAATGTTATCAACCATGAACAGATTATGTTCTGAAATTGTTAACAAGTGGCAAGTAACAGGGTTTGCTTTCAGGTTTCGTCCCTATGAAGTGTCAGTGGTCCAACATATCCAGTTGCTTGCACGAACTTTTGTCATTAGAGATTGCAATCTAGGGTGGCCAACTTTCGGCCATGAATTTAAGTGAGATTTAGTTGTGACAAATTTTGTGCATTTTTAGCAGTGCAGCGTTACTCCAGCAAATGTTCAAGGAATGGATAATATTAAACAAAACAATTATTTTGCATTGTATATATTATACAGGTCACAATATAGAATAAAGGTTTATAAATTTGCATGTTTCTTAGTCCTAATCTATATATATTTGTCCACTGATACTGCAGAACTGAGCATTTTGTATCTTCTTAATTCATACTTCAAAAACTCTTTACAACTAGAGCCATAAAGAATTGCTACCGTTAGCTGCAACTTAATTAGTTCTAAGTTGCTTAGATTTCTCTGATTGATTTTTAAATAAAGACAAGACGGTGGATAATGTCCAAAAACAATATTTATACTAATGTACCATCATCACAAACTTTTAGATGTTATTTACAAAATGTTATCATAACATTAATCAAGATATGTTTTTGTTTTATAGTCTGTGCAAATATATTTTGCCTTCTGTCTTACTTATTTCATTTGAACGGCTGTAATTTGGTTTCACCTTACTTGTTCAGAATTTACTGCCACAATGAAATTAACATGTTTCTGAACTTTCAATTGTTTAAAAGATGTGTTGGGGGAATACCCTGGACAAAATACAATTTACTGAAAAGTGTTACATTCTTGTCAGTAGTGTTTCAGAAAATCTTAGATACCAAGATATATTATTGAGGTGATAATTCTTTGAAAATCTGGGTACCCTGAAAATTGAGGCAGCACATTCCTCCAAAATGGTGCTAATGAATTACCAGCATCACAGAACTATGTGTGTTTACAGGTCGCGTGAAAGTTACGGCCAGTCCTCGCACTCCGAATGTGAAGGTTACCGGCACAAAGAAGCGTGTCACTGATTTTGACAGCAGCTGTGTGGCTTCTAGTGATGCTGATGGGGAAATATCAGTTGTTGTCAGTAAACAGGTTACAAGAACCAACACCCTGGGCGTCTGATTGTCATTATGAAGCTCTGCTTGTGACATTTATCTTAGGTTGCAGGTTTTCATGTGGTTTATGTAGTTTCGTTAATCCGGTTTGATGTTATGATTGAGATGGTAAGACTGAGTAAGCCATTGTGGGTGATATGATGTATTTATGCAACTAAATTTTGATCTACCATAACATGTCTGGGTTAGGATCGTGAAAAACACAATTTTAATTGAAAAGAAACAGCAAAATATTATTTCTCATAAAAATTGTCAGAAACGCTGGAGAGACGTTCTGGCACTCCGGTCCACCATACTCAAAGCTTAAATGTGTTTAAACTACTTCAACTTAATAATAAAAGTAGGGTGCGATATTTGGGAAAAAACATAATGAACTAACAGTAGAATTGGTAATGTTAGAAGAACTTATTAGTGGCTGTACTGTGCAGACAGAAGCAGTGTTTCTGTCCACCTCAGTGCCTTCAGATGACATACACGTATGATGCTACTGTTTTGAGAATTTAACTTATATCATGGGGATTCTGTGCTGCGTGTCCCAGTGGAAGTAAGGGAAAAATGCATTTTGTTTCATGGCTTCTGAAGTATAAGGCTGTTTGCAAAACCAGGTCTCACCCCCCACTGTTCAGTTTGTGCTGGTGCTTTGTTATACATTCTGTTGGTGGTTACTCCAGCTGCAGCCTCCTCAGAAGTGGCAGTGTCATCCTAAATGGTGTGTAGAAATACCAGTACAGTCATACAACACACACCCCCTCCCAGAGCAAAGGACTTAGTTTATTCTGAGCTTTATTGGCTGTATGTCACTTCTGTAGCTGCACAATTGGCGGCTTCTCAGGAAGGGCTCAGCTTTGGGAGTGAGTGATGTCAGTTCAGTGCAGTGGCATATGTGTACATTCCATCTGGCTGAGCATTGCATATTCTCAATAATACCATTTGCCCTTGAGTTAAAATATGACCACCTGCTCTGTAGAATATTTAAAATCCCATGTGCTTGAACAATAGACTGTTACTTTAACATTTTGATTTTAACTATAGCCACTAGTCCTGTATATCTGGAAGATTTAAAATCTCCTACTGTCAGATAATAAACTGTTGTCCTCCAATTTTTAAATTTAAGTAACAGCCACGTCCTGTAGATCTGAAAGATTTAAAATTTTGTATTATCAGACAATAAACTGTTGTCCTCAAATTTTTAAATTTAAATAACAGCCACTAGTCCTGTAGATCTGAAAGATTTAAAATTTTGTATTATCAGACAATAAACTGTTGTCCTCAAATTTTTAAATTTAAATAACAGCCACTAGTCCTGTAGATCTGAAAGATTTAAAATTTTGTATTATCAGACAATAAAGTGTTGTCCTCAGATTTTTAAATTTAAATATGGGTACTAGCCCTGTCGTTCTGAGAGATATAAGATCCTTTATTCTGAGACAGAAGACTTACCCTTAAATTTTTAAATTTGTATGTAGATTTGGAAGATTTTAAATCTGTGTCGCTGGACAATAAATATTGGTGTATCTCATGAAATTCGTTTTTGTTTTGTGTGAGCTATGTTGTGCACATCTTATCGTAACTTTTCTTTCTTAGATAAATTCTCTGCTTCTTTGGATGTACACTTAGTTTTTTCATGATCTGTTTGAAACTGCTGTTCCTTGTCCACTGAGTGGTTATGTTGTCACCCATAATGAAATTGTGTTGAAATAAGCTGCCTGTTTAATATACATATTTTGTTTTCTGTTACTTTCTTGAAGATTTCAAGTTTGAATGAGAAGACATGTATTATATCTCACTGTAGTTCTTTCAATAAATACCAGTGATGTCCATAATTTCTGGGACAGGTGCTGCCATCTGGTCAAAAACTAACTTCGGGCATACTGGCTACCATCGTCACAAACTTTTAGATTTTATAGGGGTTTAGAGCTTGGATGAAAGGTTATGAGGCTCTTTTCTTCCAGATGCTACTGCTGCTCTGATGCTTCTGTCACGTGATCTGGCAGCTTCCCTGTGCAAGCACATTCGAGCCTGTCATGTACTCGTAGTTTACAAATATTAAGCTTAGTTATACTGTTAACAGTTTGAAGGCATCACCTGACTAGCATGCAAGAGTGGTCTAAAGGTTTTTGCTCAGTAGTTATTTGTGCTACAAATGGGATTTGTTTGTACAAAAATTTGTCTCAGTTCATTTTTTGGTGTGAAAGGAAAATCATATGAAATCGTGTTGAAGCAACATTAATGAAATTTAAATTGTGTAAGTTAGTGTAAGCATGTATACTGTCAAGCCCATGAGCATGGCAGTTAAAAGGCAGGAGAAGTTCTGAGCTTGTGGCCCATGTTTTCAAAACCAAATAGTTTTGTGTGCTGAAACAGAAATTCAGCAGATTGGGATGAGCCTCAGAGGCTGCCCCAAACAAAGGACATCTGCATTGTGTGTTCTCAGACCGAATGTATTTATTGAGTGGAGTGTGTGTGTATGAGTCTTATGACTTAGTGTGTTCTTGTTTTATGAAAAAAACTTAAAATTCATCTAAGTTATTAAAAAGAAGAAGTATTATATAAAATTTGGACAACTGTGTGGTTATAAAATTTCACTCTGTTCTTCTGAGTTTTACATGAAAGTAGGAAAATATGCATTTCGGTATATATGGGAGAAGGGGGAGATCAGTGTTGAGTCTCCGGTGACAGGCATGCTTGTGGAAAGCTTTTGATTGCTGACTAAGAAATTTAGAACTTTTGCAGCAGTACTGCCAACATGTTTGCCTACACATAGAAATGGGGCTTAACAAACCCACTTATCTGCTTGCCCAGTACAAGTGAAGTGATCAAGCCTGATGAATGGAAGAATCTTGGAATTCGTTCATTAATATTCACTCATATTCTTGTTTCTTTTTTTTTTATTTATTTATTTATTTTATTTTTTTTTATTTCTTCACATATTTTAAACAGTAAAGTTGTACACTGAATGTTATATACGTGTTATGTATCCTAAACGTTTGAGGAATATATAATTTTCAGAAGCCTGGAGTCCACAGTCACTCATGGATTGGATGGTACAGGTGCTGGATGCATGCCTTCCATAAGCTGCATATGGCTCAGAAGCCACAGTTTCAACACATGTTATGTAATATAAGGGACAGTATTTGTGGACCCCTGTCTGAGTGTTCTAGAAATGTCTTTGTTTTGTGGTTTATTGGATTTTGTTGCCATTCACTGGTATAATATACAGTTTCTTGAGTTTGGTGTTTAGTTTCTGTGTGTCAGATACAGTTCAAATTTTACTTGTTGGTGTGCCCTGAAAAATAAATGTAATGTTGTACCTTGACAGTGCTGTATTTTTGTGACAGACTGTATGGCCTCTGAGATTTGACGTTCTCATGGTAGTGAATGTGAAGGTTATGGTCCTCTGGGATGCACTGTGCAGTCTGACAGGTACAAACATTTCGCAGGACCTTGTTGCCTCCACCTTCAGAGTAGAAGTCTGATGACAGAGGCAGTAGATAATTCTGAAATGCTGGCACGTACCTGCTGAACTAGAACGCATCACATCCTGGCTGATGGTGGTGTTTGTTGTCTGTGTCCTTACTTATGCCACAAAATGGATACTGTCTGAGTACGTTACATTGGCCATGCAGAGCTCAGGCTGTGCAACATCAAATGCTCCATCGTTAGTGAACAATGAATGCAAAGTGTGTGACAGGAAGTGCTGGTTGCATAATTTGAGGTAGTGCCCTGGCATTTGCTTGGGATGACTGACAAATCTCAGGCAGAATAGCCGGCTGCCAGGCCATAACACGAAGCAATGCTGCCAACTTAATATTTTTCTGTATTGTCTAGTACAAAATAAAGGACATTTGCAGATCACAGAAAGTAAATTTGTGGGCTGTCCTTAGTTACTTACTTACTTGCTTGCTTCCTTGCTTACTTAACTGACTTAATGACTTAATTACACATGGTATGAAGACCCATACAAGTTTGTCATCTGGCCTATTTCAAAACATTTGCTCTGATGCTGTATGTTCTTAACCATGTCATGTGGGAGTCTTTGTGAAGGGGAACAGGTGCATCCATGAATTAATGAACGAATTTGCTAGAAATAGATTTTAGTATAAGTTTTATGTAAGAATTTGTGTTGTAGAGGGGCATGTTGACATGATAATACCGGATAACTTGTTCATCAAGGGTTGTCTCTTTCTATGAAGATAAACATTAAAGTAGTTCCAGCTTTGTCATGCATGGAAATGATAGGAACTCTGAAGGAACCTAGAGCTGGGGTGCTTCAGGGTCTCTTTTGAGTGTCAGTGGATTGTTCTAGCACTGTTCTAAAAATAGTGATATCAGATAAATTATAGCTTTGTAGGAACTGAGATTCTCACAGCAGTAGTTATGAAGAGTACTCCCTTCTGGGATATAGCGCTGTGTAGTCTGTTGCCACCAGCTTTTACGCTGGTATCTTGCTTGGCTTATTCAGTCCCGAAGATGTTGGCGATAGGATCCTCTGAGACGTCCGTTGGCTTTCAGCGGACTGCTTGGCATTATATCCCAGAAGATGGTACTCTTTAAATTATGGCTTATTTGAAGTGTGATGTGTGCATGAGCTGTTGGCCAGTCAGTTGCATGTGTAGGACTGTAGAGGTTAGGTTCGGTGGCAACAAGAACAGCTTCCTCCCTTTGCAAGCCAGAGTGTTCCAGCACTTCTGTTATTAACATTGCCCTGGCAAGGGCATTCCAGATTCTGAGCCTGACAGTTTGATATGTGGGAGTCAGGCGAAGAGCCGTACACTGGTCCCCCAGGTCAGGAAACTGAAGGCAATAAGCTCATAAAAGCATAATGCCAAGAAGAAGAAATATTTACCAAATTGGAACGTTTTGGGGCTATAGACCTTAATTAAGTAAATAATGAACTGTACACTCTCTTGATTGCAGTGCCTGACTTCTGGAATTTAAGGAAATTTTACTTGAGACGCTCGTGGAAGATACAGTGACATGCAAAACTCGAAGCTAAATTACATGAACTTATACAGACACAGTTGACAGTGAAGTCTGTGACTTCTGAAGACAGAAGCTGCAGGTTGCTCCAAAATGTGGGTAGTACCCGTCTACTGAGCCGCATGGCATCACATCCCAGCGCACAGCAGTCAACATTCACCATCACAAGAACCTCAAAATCTCATGTGGCAGGGGTTTTCAAATTGTGTGCTACCGTGTCCCCCCAAAATAAGAAGTAAATTATTGTCCCCCCCCATGCAAGGAATTAGAACGTGTATTCAATAAATTCCCTAAATACCATATGAAGATTTTGTTGGATTTCAATGCCGAAGTCAGTAGGGAAGACATTTTCAAACCAGTAACTGGGAATGAGAGTTTGCACAAAATTGGTAATGGTAACGGAGTTAGATTAGTAAACTTTGCCACATCCAAAAATCTTACTGTCAGCAGTACAGTGTTTCCACATTATAACATTCATAAATATACTTGGACATCTCCTGATGGGAAAATGCACAATGATCAAGTCAAGGAGGATGACATGGGCTGGGCATGTAGAACAAATGTGGGAGAATAGGAATGCATATAGGATACTAGTGGGAAAGCCAGAAAGAAAGAGACCACTAGGAAGACCAAGACATGTTTGAGAGGTAGGATGGGGTTGCATGAACTGGATTGATCTGGCTCAGGATAGGGACCAGTAGAGGACTCTTGTGATCACGGTAATGAACCTTCAGGTTCCATAAAATGCTGGGAAGTTCTGGAGTAGCTGCACAATTTGCTGTTTCATGAAGAGGTCTCAGCTCCATGAAGTTGGTTAGACCCCGCAGTAATTGAAATTATTGGTATGATTAATGAGAGAGCAATCCAGCAAGCTTGTCTTTACTGTTCCCTGCCAGCTGCAGGCATATGCTCTGAAAGCACCGCTGTTAAATCCCTTCGACTTGCCAGAACTGTGTGTGTGTGTGTGTGTGTACTCTATAACGTTTCTTCAGAAGTCTATAGCACTAGGGAGGGTAGGCAATGACCTACAGTTTAAGAAACCATGGCATATGATAAACTGCTATGGGAAGGCAGCTCGACTAAATGTCTACCCTGAGGAAGGAAGCAAGATGAACCCTCGAAATGGTGATACATATGGCATCATATCGTAATCATGTCAACTGTCATGTTAAATTTCAAAGTTATGTAAAGAATGCCAGTTTTGAGATGTATTAAGGAGTGTGTCGCATTATGACAAGGATTGTTAGGGGAAAGTGGTGGTTCTGGTTGTGACGCCTTGTAGGTGGTAACTGACATTTCGGAGAAACCTTCTGCACTGATGGAATGCGACTGCACGGCGTCACATCTCAAGGGACTGCTCCTCCTACATCTGGCCCGTGTATGTATAAATTTGCCCGCATCGTTTAAAATTATTCGGGCTATGTGCTGTTTGGTCTGGCCTACTCACTTTTATGCTACGTGTCCAGTATTTCGTCTTATGGTTCCCGTGCAGCATGGCTCGATTAGTAGACCTTTCAGAAATGTTTATTTCTATGTATTTTATTTATGATTTCCTTGAAATTACTGGGTTCTCTACAAACGTGTATGTTTTTAGGGTCAGTTTCCTTTCTGCAGGACACAACTGCGGAAAAGGAGTACAGTATTCAGAGTGAAGAGAATTTCGTTCACCTGATGCGAGTTTTGAAAGTGGTGCATTGGATAAAAGAACCAATGCAGAATATGATTCCCCGAGCGCATCAGTTTATACAATTCGGTCAAGTGCAAGGACCTCTTTATTTGTTTCACAAGGTTGCGATATTTGTGGCAGGTCGGGGCAAAGAGGAAACACGATAACACCGCGTCCTGTCAACAGTAGAAGACAAGACGAACTGGAGACGTTTCATCTTTGTTTGTGTTACGCAATTTGAGATCACGAGGTGAGAACGCAAGTATCACGAAGGGAACACAGATGTAAGGTTAAACGCTGCCACACAGAAAATCACTTGACAACCGCTGCACCAGACGTGAGATATAATGTTTTAAATTTAATTCTCTGGACAAATAACTACGACCTTCCGCTTGTGTAGGTCAAGAAATTTCCCATATATGTATGAAGGTTGAATTCTCAACCCTTCTAGAGTGGAAAAAGCCTTACTAAATTTGTTTGCTTACTTAGCGTTACTGAACCTGCTCTAATTCTAAGGCACTTTTTAATCTGTTCTGAGTTTGTAGGTATTTTTTTAATTCGCTTAGTGGGGGGTGGAGTCCAACTGGGTCCACTCGGCACGGCGGCCACTGATTAGCCTATTGTAGCCTGCCTTGGGTGATTATGATGATGAAGAATTGGGTGGAATGAAGATTGGCAGGGGAAATGAAAGTACTCTGAGAAAACCCGCCCCAGCGCCACTTTGTCCACCACAAATCCCACTTGATCAAACCCGGGCCGCCGCGGTGTGAAGCCAGCAACAAACTGCTTTAGCTATGGCGCGGCCGAGTTTGTAGGTACCGGTTCGGTGCAGCGGCTTTATGGGGCCCCAGTATCCCTTTTCCTACTATTAATGTTGATATTACTGGCTTACCTCTGAGGCTTGGGCTTGCAAGTGGCAGGGCGCATCTCAGCCTGCTAGGTCTGCGCAACTTGTGTTTCTGTTTCATTTCTTTTCTGATGAATATTTAGGGTCTTACGAAATCAAATTTGTCCGACAGAACATGGTGTTGGTAGTTTCGTACAGGCCGAAGCAGCACGGTTCTCTAATGTCGCCGTGTTGATATTTTTAATATTGTGGCTTGTGGAGCTGTTGCTAGGCATCACATTCTTAACAATGGAAATGGGGTGTTTCTACGTCGTCCGTGCCGAGATGTTATAAGCAAGTGACAAGGTCAGACCAATTCAGTTGTGAGACGGTGGCCAGCTGGGAATGGCGTGAGCGCTTGGAGCTGAAGAATATCCACTGTTAGAAACCGTTGCCAGGAAACAGCTGGTGAAGACACAGCAGACTGGAAAAGGCTTAAGGCGTGTTGTGGTTTGTATGTAAATGGACAATAAATCAAGTCGCCAATCCAAACTCCGTCTATAGTCACACACTCTACACGTGACAATATTTTGAACTTTAGGAAACGAGTGAATTAGTTGCACTGAGCAAGTTCTGCAGCGGTTACGCTCTAGACATGTAGTCAGGAGGTGCTCGTTTCGAATCTCGTTCGGGACACCGATAATCCAAAATTGGCTTTTCCGTGGGTTTCTTCAATCGCTCCAGGCAAATGCTGGGTAAGTGCCCCGATTAGACGTCTCTCTCATATATCCGTCTCAATTCATTAGTCACCACTCGTAGCGATGTATGCTGTGCAGTCTGACGC